TTGCCTGTACCAATGTCACAATTATTGGGAAGAAAAATACCCAATGTTGTAAAGGGGTCTTCCATTTAGTAACACCAGTGGGAGCAGAGGAGCCTCAGTGCTTTGTGAGCTTGAGCCCTGAACATTCCATACAAACAAAGCTTCAAATCATTGTAGGGAATGGTGCAGGAGGTGGGAGGCTGGCTTCGGCTGTATTGCAGTCTGTTCTCAGTGGTGGATTAGGTTTTGCTAAGTATTTAACAGGCAGGTGCCTCTTAGGCAAAGAGAATATTTCAAACTCCATGATTTTCTACAGAAAAATGAGATGCTGTGCTCTTGTCGGTCAGCAGGAGCTTTTTTATCTGTTCACTGTGCAGGCTCTAAGATTTCTTTTGCTTAACTTATATATTTATTCCATATAAATAAATGTTGCATTGCAGCTTTCAACAGAGGCAGCTGAAGACTGTAGGAAAACACATGCCAGAGTGAGTCTCAGTCCCCTGACACACCTGGAAGAGGTAGAACACAGCAGTGCAAAGCAGCACTTGCCACAGGCAGACCTCTGGGTTCTGCTGGCAGGACTCTTAAGCAGCTTGCAGGGAAGAGCTTTATCCTACTCAGACAACTCTGACTCAAAGGTGTGCAGTAGTGACTACTTCTTTATGCATCACTGTAATACATGAGCATGTTCAAATTTGACTTTAGGTTAAATGTTAGGATGACCACTCTATGGGTGCCAGTCGTTGTATAATTTCACTATGTGCACCTTTTCTGGACCTCTTTAAAGTTGCCAAGTTGGTGTAAGCAAGTTGTTCAGTTTGTAGTTTCTGGGTCATAGGTTTATTATGTGCCTTATCTGCACTTTTCTTACAGGCTTTTTGCAGCATTTTTATAGCTTTGCATTTTATGTATAGTGTTTTGGAAACAAAACAAGGGATCTCATGATGAAGTTATCTTGATTTCACAGCATTTTCCTCTGAAATCAGAATAATGAGTTGAGGGACAGAAGAAGTTACAGAGGAGGGAGTAGTTCAGTCTTATGAGGTGCACTCTGACTTCAAGACATTCTGGAAAAATAAGGTTGAAAAAAACAACCACCGGTACTGTTCTTGGTCTCTACTAATCGAAGAAACTATTTAATCAAAACAAAATTGTTTATCAATATGATATTTACTCAAACTACCACTGAAAATACTGACATTACCATGCCCAAGGCAGAGGAATAAACATTGGGAAGTCTTTTCTCTGCCACCGATTCATTTTGTTACATTGGATACCTTCAGTTTTCCAGTAAAATGGAGAGGGTAATGACTGTTTAGGACAGGAATTGTCCTTGTACAGAGCTTTGAGTCTCTGGACATGCAAAATACTGTTAAATGGGGCTTGTGCCTGCTGAGCTTTCATGCAGATTGAGGTGAGATTCAGTTTGCCATGTCCTGAGCAAGATGCAAGTTAAGCAAGTCACCATGATCTCAGAAAGCAAGACCAAACATCTTGTTTTGTCTAGTCTAAGGGGACTATTTTCACATGCCACTTCTTAAAATAGCCTTTTCATATTATCATGTATCCCTTGTGTGACTTTTGGGGGCCAAGAAAGTTTAATGTCTTCCACAGACTAAATACTTGTAATGCTAGTCAATTGTAATGCTAGTGCTTAGTGTCTGGCTAAAATATCCATCATGATAGCTCTGCAGGGTAGACATCCTGTCTAAGATGGCCATGTGTGGTCTTACCAATCAGATAAATCTTGAAGTATTTTTGAAGTGTGTTTGTTTAAATGCACTAGCCATATATTCACAGTTATGTTTGCTATAGATGACAAGGGAATGATGTGCAGCACTGAAGTTACTCCAGTTTACATCCATGTAGCTGAGAGTAGAACATGGCAAAGGCCTCTCCTAGCAAAATTCTCATGGGAAATCATTAGTAAAATCTTATGCCTAAAATTGGTTGGCATCCAAAAAGACTTAACAGCATGATATTTCTGGACATGCTCCAAGAAGAGAAAACAAGACAAGACCATTTGCTGATGAAAAAAGGTCACAGTTAATATCTATGTGATTGGGTGTTATGTGTATGTATTGCATTATATGTACCCAAATATTTATATTTTACATTGAAGTTTACTCTGGTATTAACTCTTTACCCTTTTCATATGTATAAAGGTAGCTGGTGAAACAACACAGTTGTTTTCACAGAGACATAGAAATTACTGAAGGTCAAATGAAGGAAAAGTGAAGAAAACAACCAAGGCATGTTAAAACCTGAATCTATTCAGAGCAGAGAGCAATCAGTTCTGTTTCCTTATGTTTAGTATCAGGTTTTGCGAAAGGCTAAGAAATCTATCCAGAAGCTGGAGCAAACCTTGTGTTCTTTGCTGAAGATGAAAGGTAACTGTACACAACTATTTTCTTGGACAGAGTGCCCAGACTTGTTTGTTATGTATTTGTTAAATAGAGACAGATATGTATGCAGCTGAGCCCAACTGTGGCTTTTGTTGTAGCAGTAAGCAAGGGGTAGTGAGAGTCTAGCGACACACTAAGCACTGCATCTCAGAAATGCCCCTCTGAGTCTCTGTCTTTTCTACCCCCTCCCCAGCCTAGGTGAACAAAGGAGGCGAGTAATTCCTTCTGTTCCAAGAGAGCAGGCTGTTCAGGCTGAGTGCCCTTGGCACACTGCTGCCAGTTCACCCTCTGCAGGTGTGGGGCTGGCATGGGTCCCCAGGCAGCATGCTTAGGCTCACCCCAAAAGCCTGCAGGAGCAGGTGTGCTCCTCCTGCCACAGCAGTGTGGCACAGTGTGAGTCACAGCCACCATGAGCACCTCCAGTTGCAAGAACTTAAACTGCAGAACAGCAGGCTGTGGTGTGAGGTAAAAGGATTTCCTAGGCTAGGAAGTAGAAGCTTCTGGTTAAGAATTTACTGTGATAGCAATGGGTAAGAGAGATGCTACAGTTTTTTTTCTTTCAGCTTGGCAGGTTGTCTTCATGCCCTCCTCTGTTACAGCCTGTGACACCATGTGTCACACTGCTCTGGCATGTGCTGTCAGCAGTTGAGGCAGCTCCTGCCACGAGGCTTCACGCCCTCAAGGATGCGACTTCTGCTTAATGATGCTGGCCACTGCCTCCACTGGCAGCTAGTAGGACTGGGGGCTGATGGGGTTAGAGGCTTTAGACACATTTTTTTGTCCATTCAAGTGTCCAAATTCCTGTCAGCTAGAAAAAAAAAATTGCTGTTCATGCAACTCGCACCTCTGATAATTTGCATCAATTAAAAGTCCCAGTGCTTAAAATGAACAATCACGTCTGAACCCACATCCCTTGGTAACCCATAAAAGTCAGTCATAGGTAGAAGGAATAGTTTGATTGAAGGGATCACTAGCAGAGAGGCTGGCCAAGGGGAGTTTGGAGGCAAGCTTCCCCTTGTATTTACTTGCATTTAAGTAAAATTCATACTGTTTGTGAGTCACAGGTTGGTTGTCAGGGGTTTATACATGGAATTTGCTCATTATATGGCAGTCACAAAGTACTGTATTGACTAGTGCTTGCCTGGACTTTGATTTGCTGATTGTTTTCACTATCAGTTCTGTCAGATCAATGTTAGGAAGAAGGTATTGATTCTAAGTTCCTTGCTGTTCATAAAGTCCCAGCAGTGCTAGTTATGTTGTAGGAGAGGCAGATGTTTCTCCTTTCACATCTTTTTTCCATAATGAAAAGCTCTGGCTCATGAAGAACCAGTTGTTGAAAGTATTCTGTTTGGTTGGGGCTGAGGGTGAGATAGAAGCCAAAAATGCCACCAATGTGACAGTAACCTTTCTGCTGACAACAGAGAGCTGCAGTCTGGAGGATGGGAAACCATCCACCTTGGAGAAAGTCAGGGAGGAATATGTCAAGGAGCAATTCAGCAATCACAGGTAAGGGCTTATACCAATCAAAAAAGGATGATAATACTTTGCACTTAATTTCATCCCAGCGTCTCTGAATCTCTTTGTCATTGTTAACTGTATTTCCAAGCAGAAGTCTTTCATCATGAGGAAAGGATGAAGAGATTTCAGCTGGACCCCTGTAATCCCATACAGTGCACAAACATTCTAAGCATGTTGTTTGTCTCATTTCCAGTCAGTGCTTGCATTTTCTTTCCCTTCTGTGTAGCTGAGCTCTGCCAAGGACTTTTCATTCACCTGCAAAGCAAAAGCAGGAGGAAAAAGCTGGCTTGGGAAGAATGGCCCTGGACTCTGGAGGGACCATGACAAGGGCCTTATTGGTCCAGTTAAGAAGTTGTTCATGTGGTCTTTTTTTCCCCTTGTGTTCCTTCCAGCACTACATCAACCTCGGAAGCCGTGAGTGAAATTGACTCTGCCATCTGGTGTTTGGTTCAAGAATGTGAAAAACAAACACTGGAAGAAGATGAGAAGCCAGAATTGATCCAGCTTGCGGACAGTTCATCCCCAGATCTGCTGGAGTTTGAGCGGTAGGTGCACCCCACATTGCCTTCAGGTTTTTAACTTGTTTGCATTAACACTGTGCACTGTGCAGTCATTTGTGCAGCCCTGCTGGAACCTGTGTCTGCCCTGCAGAAGCCTTGTGCCAGCAACTTTGGCCCTACCAGTGATGAAGCTGATTACTTCCTAAGTCCCTTACCTATGACTTGCACATGAATGGACTCCCAGTGTTGTAGTAGTCCTCAGCTTCCCAGCCCTTGGTAAATCCCTGAGGAATCTTCACCCCTAATCAAGAAAAAGAAGAAAACTTCTTTCAAATGTGTCAGGCCCTGTGTGGCCATGCTTTTAGCACTGTCCATATGGCTTGCAGAGTAAGATGGAACATACTTGCTAACAGTAGTGGTTTAACAGCAAGCTCAGGTGGAATAGGAGGTTACTAACCCAGAATGATTTATGCAGGTGTGTGCCCCCCACTGTGTGTTTGTCGTATCAGTGTCCCTATCAAGTTGTATCCCTGCAAGGGGGCTAGATTTTAAGACTGTAGGAGTTGCTGCAGCAGATGAAGTTGTCAGAAATCTAGCTGTATGTGTTCCTGGGAGGTGCAGGAGCCAGAAGTAGGTGCATACTTTCCCCCACAGTGATGGTAATACTGCATCTAATGGCATGGTTATGAGGAGCTTGGACACTGTTGCCCCTTCCAGAAACAGACCCTTAGCTCCTGGCAGCTTGGAGTACTTTTTTTTGTGGGATCAGAGCAGGGTAAGTCTGGATTCAACCAAGGAAGATCTTGTAGTCCTCAGCCTGTGGGCTGCAGAATAGTTGTGGTCTGGAAGACACTTCAAAATGTCTGGGACACAGGGGAGGAGGGGAACTGAACACTTGCGTGTGCCTTGTACTTACAGCTAGTGGGTGTGAGTCTGTTAACACCCTTTAGGATCAGCTCCTAAGTGCTTGGTGCAGGACCTAAAAATCAAAGACCACTGTTCTCATGTCAGAAGGTTGCGATGGTAAAATTACTGGGTTTTTGAAAAGTTACTGGTGTCTTAAAACTGAGTATGTTATACACCATGTTCTTCCCCTTGCTGTAAGTCAGCACTAGGAGACACTCAGAGGTTTTATCCTGCTTTTCCAACAGGATAGATTATTATTTCATTCTAAAGATATCAGAAACGAATATGTAATCTGTCCTGTACCATCAAGCAGTCAATTTCACCTTAACCATTCCGGAGTTAAGAATATGCAGTGCAGCAGAATCCACAGGTGCAGCTGGCATCCTCTTCTGCAATACCACCACCATAAACAAAAACTTTTGCAGTTCCTGTTTCTCTTTTGCTTTGAACTGGTGCTTATTTCTAAAATTCCCTTGGATCGTGGAGTTTTTCCATCCAAAGGAGACTGCAGCTGTGCCAGCAGATGGCACCAGCCTCCTGCCACTGCTGCTGCTTTTGCTCCTGTGAGAATCGGAGGTGGCGGTAGTAAGGTATCGTTTATAAGACCTTGAAATGTGCGGAATCAAGATTTCTCAGGGAAAGAAAGTTCTGCCTCATCAAGCTGCATGACGGAACCCTAATGACCTGACTCTCCCATTCTTCACTGACAAAGTAGACCAGGGTCTGTATTTGTGTGGACTCTGGCACTTATGCTGTAGTCTTAGGGCAAATTGCATTTGGTACATAGCTAATTCTTGTCAAAAAATGATCTTTTATAACAGGCATAAAACAACAGGATCTCTTCAGCAAAGAAAATAACAGACTTTTGGTGATCATTTAATCACATTATTTGGGCAGCATCAGAAATGCTTTGAGCTTCAACAGACTGAGGGGGTTTTTCTCATGTTCAGGAGCAGGAGCTGCATTGGTGGTACTAAACAGTACTCTGTCCAGTGCAAAATACGGTTGTCTTCTTCCAGCTGGGAAGGAAATAGTTCAGTTGTGCTTCAAGCTTAATTGCTTTAGCAAAGCCATCTAATGGTGATTCACATTCTCCTGTTTGAGAAACTCCAGATCCTTTGTTTGGAGCTGGACATCCAGAATCCTTAGTGAGTGCAGTACCTTACATGAGAACACTTACTCCCCTTTGGGTATTTTGTCTCCAGCAATGGTGGAAAATAATCCAGAGTATGGAAACTGGAGTTTAAACATGTTTATGCTTGTGCACAAGATTACCTTTTCAGCACTGGTTTGCTAGAACAAATTTTTTTAAACAAAAATATTTTAAAAAAAGGCTGAACTGCTTTGAGTTGCTTTCTCATGCAATACTGTTCAGTTAATCAGGAAATGTGCTCATTTGGGACATCTTCCAAGGAATCATTTTGAGACCATGCATAGTGACAATGACTGCTGTTTATAGAACTCTTGGTTTGTACTCCTTTGATCTTGTTATTTTCATCTGAGAAGCTCTCAGCATTTAATTAGGATAACTTTCAGTGTTGCTTTCTGAAGTAGACATCATTATCATTGTGTGGCACAATGAACCAGTGTTAAAGTGCTCACCACTGGTTTCACTACAGGCTGCGTGGAAATCAGTCTTAGGAATGTGTTTCCTCAGATGTAAAGTGGAGGAAATTGAAGTCCCATGCTTAAGTCAGAGTATTCAGGCCTGGGAAAGTCTCTTTCTGTCTCCATGTATAGCGCCTGATACGTCAGGATATGACCTCAGCCAAGGCTTTTAGGTGCAGTGCAATGCCAGTAAATGTATAAAATGTGACTTGCAGTGCAAAAGGCTCAGAATACAAAGGCAAGTAGCTCAACATTTATTAAATGAGGTTTGCCTGCAACAACCTGCAGTGCCTGGAGCTTCTGTTGTGAGGCAGTCCTGCTGAGGCTGTGGCTGGAGCCTGCTTTTTGCAGATGAAATCTTGGCAGAATGGAGTTGCTAAAATCTTCAAACAGTGTTGGGCAACCTTCAGTAATTGTATGAAGTCTCAGAGTGGAATCAGTGAAGTGGTTATGAGTCAGAGCTACTCTCCAGTCTCCTGCTGATTTTCAGTAGACAGCTGCCTGCTCTTAAGAGATGCTCCCTTTCCTTTCATTCCAGATACCTGTATTTTTATAAGCACACAATGGACCTGCTGATAGAGCATGGAATTGTTTGCACTGGAGGGGTGCCTCTTCCTGAGGTCTCCACAGCTATTTGTCATCTCTGGCAAGAGCTTTCTGAAGAAAGCAGGGATAACATCTTGCAGTGCTATAGCCAGAGAGATTTCCTCAAGACTGCTTACCAAGAGCCTGCATGCACTGAAGGTAGTGTGAGGGACAGCGGAAGTAACAGTGAGGAAGCCAGTGGTTCCTCAGTCCCCACACCAGCAGAAGTAAGTGCTCAGTAACATACCTAGTTAGTATGTTAGTAACATACCTCTGAAACTCCAAGCCTTCAGATGCTCATTGGCTCTGCAGCTTTTAATTGGAAGCATACAGTAGTTGTAACTAAGCTTTCCAAAGACCACTTGAATGCGTAAGTGAAAACATAAGAAGTCTCTGAGTAAATGTCTGCACCAAATTTTCTCTTGATAAGGTACATAGCAAGTTATAGCAATCCTGCTGGTCTCCACTGACCTGGGGAGCTTCTGTGCTAAGTAACAGTTAAATTTGCTTGTAACTTGCTCCAGGAGCAGGGAGCAAAACAAGGATTACACAGGTACTGTGCTCTGCAAACTCTCCAGGGAACACAGTTGATCTAAATCCAGTTTGCCAGTGCCTTCTGTGTTTTGGGTTGGGTGGGGTTTTTTTCATTAAGGCATTTGGTAGCAAAGATAAAATAATTTTATACCAGTTCAAGTGGTACAGGGCCAATAAATGCCTGTACCATGCCCCTCTGCAGAGCTGAGACATCAGTGACTGAGTAGACCAGGGCATTTGTTAAAAAGAGATTAAATAACAGTCAACTCTTTATAAATGATTCCTGGAACACTGATTGCTGAAGCAACCAGCTGCTCAAAGATGCATGTGTAATTTTATCAGCTGCAAGAGAGAGACAGATGTCCACCTTTAGCATAGAAGTGAATTGTATTGACAAGTTCTTTTTGAATCACAGCTCATATTGCTCATTGCCTTAGGAAATGTCACGTGGATGTTGCATGTACAGTGCTTTCTGGCAGAGAAAATATGTGAACTGCATTATGGCAGTGAACTAATGAGCTTATTGGTCTGTCACAGCATCTAAATTCCTTTGTAAACTGGAGTCATATTTGGACAGACTGGCTGGTACAGCTAGAGATCTCCAGCCATAAGCAGCAGTCTACAGTCAGATTTGTAAAGCATTGATACAATTCATGGTTTTCATTGTTTTTTAGGGAGATGTAATGTTAAGTCTAATTCTAGAGGCTGAAACACAGGCTTAAGGCAATGTACTAGCCTTGTATTCCTAGTCATGAAATACATAGGATTAATATTATTCCTTATTATTCCTGTTTCCACAAAACCTCTTGGTTTGCTCTAGCTGTAAACATACCTGTTAAATGTAAAGAAAGAATATCAGAATGTAAAGAAAGAATATTGTACTTTTAAAGACTTCAATATTAAAAATTATGCCCTAGGTAAAACTTTTAGGTGGCTGGATATGTTGACATCTGAAGTGATTTCTCTGCTAGGTAATGTTTGAAGATGCATTTGATGTTGCTCCTGGTTCCCTTGACAGAAGCAAGACTCAGGGAATGTCTAGCCAGAGGTAAATTACAAAGTCATCCCTTTCGATAGACGGAGTAAGTTAATAGCCCTCTGTCAATACTCCATGGCAAGTAATCTGTGGAGTAAGACAATGGCCTACTTCTCTTTTTTGTGCCCAGTTTTTAGTAATTGGTCAGAATAGCAGCCTCCAGCAACTGTGCTCATGATAATACCAGCTTTTAAGGTGCAAAAGTGAAATGACTAATGGGCGTTTACAGCAGAATCAGTAAGAATCACTTATTAAGAGCAGCCCAGCACTTCAGGATAACTGAAGTCCCTCTGGTTTTCATCACTTACCAGGTCTGTGAGGACCATGAGGCATTCCCTGTATAAATCAGCTAATTGTGCTCTCATTTAATGAGACAATAATAATAATTTTTTAACATTTTCCCCCTTATCTTTTTCAAGGACCCTAGTTCACTCACAAGGAGGTGATCAGGCTAAAGTGTGATTGACCTGAACAGTAACACCAAAGAAACACAGGACCTATTAAATAATAACATCTCTTTCCTCTGCAGATCAGATGAGTTACCCAGAAGAGAACATGTCAGATACAAAGCTGGCACTGCCTTTGATTTTTTTTTTTCCCAGTAGACCAAAGAAAGAAAAGGGTTGTTTTCCTCAAGAGGAAAATCACATTATGACTCATCTTTTATGTATTCTTGCTACTTAGTCTTTGTCAGGCTTGTTTCTCTTTGCAGATAGTGGTTTTAATCTGTGGGGTTCTTAATCCCATTTTCTACTTATTTTTCCACATTTAGAGTGCTCTTCAGCGTGAATCTCTTTCTTTCACTGTCATTCCAGGTCGCACTTCCAGAACAGAATGGATTAAAATAAGGTTGTTTTAGCTGTTGATCAGAATATACTTGAATGCATAAAAAAGCTTAACAAATATTTAGCTATCAAATAACATTTATTAGGTCACAATTTCTGTTTGCTTTTCAAATAAGATTAAGTATTCCCTAATACTGCAATGTATTTTTCTTTACAGTCTATTTTAGGTCCCAAATTAGACTAGTATTTTGGTAGTCAACATTTATCCTGTTCCCTTCCTTGCCTAATGTTCTGTGCCTTGTAATTCTGGACAGAGGTGGGAAGGCAGAACTTTGTAAAATCCCAGGAAGAATATAGATATGAGTTCCAGAATGAACAGCTTAGCTTTTTGCCACAGTTACCCGAGTACAAACCTGCCTTTAATAGCTGACATGTCATTTCATGACCATGGGTTGCATTCACTCAAAAACTCTACAAAAGAAATCAAAGCTGTTCCTCCAAAACACCCTACAAAATACACCACCAAATAACCATTGTTGTTCTCTGTTATAACAGATAAATACTTTTCCCCAAAACAGTGTTGCTATACTTGCCATGTATCACTGGATCTCTACTGGTTTCTTGCATTGCTGTTCTCTGTTCTTAACATATCTTCCTTGCGTTTCTAGACAGTATCTATTAGACAGACCACTCCTCCCTGTTTTGCTTGGCTGTTGTCTCTCATATCAGAATCATCTTGAAAAACAATTTGAATCTTTTAAAAAATGTATATACAGGAAATTAAATACAGTATCTGGTTCTGTTTTCAGTTCAGCATTTGCAAGCTGCACTTCTGAAAATCCAGAGGATCACCACAGACTCTATCTGTGGGTCACTGACTTTCTAAAACACCTCTTCTTCACCAATCCACAGTTTTGCCAGGTAAGCCTTGCCGAAGGATTCCTTATAGAAGGAGCAGTGTATTTCTGTCATTGTCAGAAAGGGATTTCTGTGTTCTGTGCTTCTGATCATATTGTCCAGAATGATTACAAATCTTGGGTTTCATCACTTCAGGTGTGTCATTCCAAAAGGTAAGTAGGATTGCCTTTGTAAGAGGCAAAGTGTGAGCAGTTATTATTGCTTTGAATATTATTCAAAATGGCAAATCACATGAGGAATTTTAACTATTTTTTTTTTACATTTTATTTTGCATGGAAGTTCCTTGTGAAAAAGCTTGAGTGGTCTCTTCTGAGTAGGCAAAGCTCACTTCGTTAATCCCCAGGTGCTTCATTCTGAGCTCAGTCGACCACCTTCTGCTTGTCGGGGTGCCAGGTTCCCTACCCTGAGCCCTCCACTGGGAGGCCTTAGGAGCAGGATATTCATGTTCTTGAAAGAGCTGATAAACAGTTGTTAAGCTGCCTCTTAACCTCAGCCTACTGTTACAGGTTTGCTGAGCCAGAAATCCTTGTGTTTGCAGTGTTCTTCCTTCCCTTCTTGTCCTCCTGCCAAGGAGGTGGCTCAGAGCTCATGTGTGGCAGACCAAAAGGGAGATATCCCTCAGCCAGGTCATGCTTGTTTTGCCTCAGAGTCAATTGCACCTCCACAGTAGCCATTGGTTTGATAGTTTCTATTGCCTAGCTCCCACCCAGTCTCTGGTACTCGAGCAGATGCTCCTTTGAAGGGGAAAAAAAAAGGGTTTGTAATGAGTGGTAGTTGTGACAAAAAACAAAGCAGAAAGTAGCATTGCACCACTATCTGAATCTATCACATAGTGACTGCTGTGTGCCATTTGGTTCCCTCATCTCAGGGAGACAGTGGCACTAGAGGAGGTGCTGAGAATGGCAGCATGCAAAGCAAAAGGCATTAAACAGGAACTGCTAGAGTAGGACTTTTCTGCTGAAAAGGTTGCAAGGCCATTTTGATCCTACCTGTTGTGGATTTGGTACACAGAACCATTTGTTGTGTCTAGCACCAGAAGAACTAGAAAGCACTCAAGAAAACGAACAAACAACATACTAAAAACCACTTGCATGTATTACCAGATTTAACGCCACAGGCATCAATCCATTTCCAGTTCCTAAATCTGAAGGTCCAGATACAAATTCCAGCTCAGGAGGTCCTCACAGCACCATTTGCTGTAATGTAGGAGCACATACTGTGAAACAGAGCACACAGCATGCACAATTCTTGCACTTTTTTTCTGAACCTCCACTCCTGGCCATTGTCAGAGACCAGCCCTTCGGTCTGTGAATTGCCATGTTCTGCATAAGGGCAGAGCTGTTTATGTGTTTATGTAAATGACTGTGAACAGAGCAGGCCTAGAAAAGAAAGGCTTTAGGTGTTTTCCTAAACCTTCCAGTTTTAAATTTCTTTTTCAGTGTCATGCCTGGCATGGTCTCATTTTGCCTTTCTGCTTGGTGCTGCATTGTCATATGTGAGCCCAAGTCCACCTCACAGCTCCCAGATGAGGTGGTATGGGAAGAGGTAGTGCCTCTATCAAGGTTTAAAGGGACATTTGAAATAAGACTAGGAGAGAATGGTAGTGATGGGAAGACAGGCAGCAAAAGAACCTGTAGTACTGCAAATTAGCAGTTGACTCAGCTCTGTGGATCCAAAAGGAAATAAAAGTCTGCACACACATCTTTTATGTGGGAACTTTTAGTTGTCTGTGGTAAGACAATAAAAAGGGAGTTTGAGCAGAAATCACCCAGGCTAGATGATGTGAAGGTCACAATTGATTCTGATTTAGATAACTTCAGTAGAGCACATCTAAGAGGCAAGAAAAAAGAAAGAGGCAGAGGCAAAAAAAGAAAATATTACTGACAAGATATTTTTTGTTTTGAGACCAGAAATTCGGATCCATCTCAAAGCAATTGAGAGAGTCCATCTCAAAGATTGAGACAGTTATGAAAGTGGCTGCAGAGCAGGGATAGAAGATGTTACAGCTAGCTTGAAACACATCAACTCAGGCAGCAGCAGAGCCATCAGTATAGGCTACTCACCTTACCCCAGAAATTGGGCTACTTAGAGCATCAGAGACTCCTGGACTTGACAGGGAAAGGAGCCCATCCTGCTTGCTTTATGGGTATGACTGAACCCCTGCAGACCATTCCCTCATTGTGGTACCCATGTTGGTGCTATGCTAGCCCAGGAGTTTGGGCAGTGCTGTGATAAATTATCTTAAGGATAAAGTAATATCCTGCTACACTGTGCACACACCTTGTAGAAGATACAGAGGTTGGGTAGCAGGGACAGTAAGTACTAAGGTAAGGCATGTGATGTATATGCAACTGAAATACAAAAGGCAACCTGTACCTCCTTTCCTTTCATCTGCAGAGCTGATGAGGTGATGGGTTTTATTACTGGTCACTCATGCCTGTGCTAGGTTATGCACAGCTCCTCTTGGGCCAAGGGCGCCAAGGGCACGTACCCCACTAGTATACAGTACTTCAGAAAGACTTGCACAAAGAGGAGGGAGGAAATAATTTGGATATGGAAAGGGAGAGCTCTTGAAAGGATAGTGACCCAAAAAAAAGAACAAGAGCATGTTTCCATGGTACGTGATAGAGAAATATTTCTGAGCATGAAATTAGTTAAGCAGTCTTGTCATTTTTCAAGAATTGTTGTGTTAAGGTCACATCATAAGACAAGTTTAGTAGCACAGGCAGTAAAGAATTAATTTATGTTGAGGTCCAAAAGTTTTACCTACGTGAAAGTCAGTGGGGGTTTTCCTAAATAGTACTAAGCACCTTTGTGTCTTCAAAGGCACATTTTCTTTCAAAATTACGGATTTTAGATGAGTCACTTGACAGGCAAGTGGGATTTAGTGCTCCTTAAGCTATACATTTTTAAACAGCCCCTATTTTTAAAAGCAGTCTTTCCCTGAAGAGTCTTGCATCAATGCAGAAGGTGGACTAGGTAGACTGCAGGCATGAACGCTTTCATCTTCCAGACTTTGGTTTCTCAAGAGCCACTTATTCTCTGTAAGCTGGTGAAAGAGAAGACCATTTCCTTCTGTTGCTAAAAGTGGAGCAAAGCTTGAAAGTTGGTAGAACTTAAGGCCTCAAGGAAGCTCTCTTATCTCACAGCGTTATGTGACGCACATGCTACCACAGTCAGTAACGGCTGTCTGAATTATGTAAATAGACACAGAGTGGAGCTCTGTGATTTGAGAAGGAAATTGGTTGAAAATTTGAGCCATTCTTCATCAGGCACATCAGGCACTTGACAATCCTGGCTGCAGATTCAGAGGGGAGGGAGGGCTCGTGGCACGTTAGCTGACACATCAGCTCTTGTCCAACATACTTTATATCTGAAACACAATCAACTCCTCTGGTTTTTAATCCTGCTTGACTTTGGGGGGGCTTTCAGGAAGAAGATGATGAGACTGTGATGCTGAGGTGCACTGAGACCTTCGATGATGAAGATTTCTAAACAGCATCCTTGTTTGCTAATGTTTTGCCAAGCATTGCCAGGTAACCAGGGATGTGAAGAGGCTTCACCTCTTTCAGTGAAGCACCTCCCTGAGCAGAGTGTGGAGACACTGTGTTAAAGTGGTTTATTACCATTGACTTCTCATTTCCTCATTAGTACTTAACTCATATATCAGTTGAGTAATTTATATTTGTCAAAGTTTGGGATTTTAGCTGCTTATTATATCTGAAGATAAGCTTTTATCCATTGCTTTTTAATGTTTAAACTCACTGCACAAATAACCTGAGGCATGTACATTTAAGTTACCTTGCCTAACATAAGCTGTGGAACAACAGCAGAGGGGCCACATCAGTGGTAGCCTGCACACTCCCATAGGATGCAGGTCTCAAACTGCAACCTGCAAAAATCACCACCCTGGCAGTGCAATTTTCCAGCTTGGGCTGATGAAGAAAGAGGGATTTCCTTACTAAGAGTGGGATGAGGTTCATCCATCTCTTTATGAGATTCATACAGCATAAGTGGCCACCCACTCCCAAATCACCTAGAAAAGTGCAGGCATAATAATACACTTTGGATAAGCTGAGTGATTAGCCCTGTGCTCTTCCACAGCTAATTCTTTGATGAGTAGTGCTGCCTCAGGTAGTGTCTTGAAATTAAAAATGCTGTGAAACTGAATAAAGTCCTTCATATCTCAGAACTATCATTAAAGGCTATCTTCAGACTTGAATGGATTGTGTTTCTTGCAGTGAAAGGCCCAAAACTGACCATAGCATTCAGGGTGTGGCCTCACCAGTGCCAAATACAAGGGGGACGACCACTGCCTTAGTCCTGTGGGCCACACTAGTTCTGATACAGGCCAGGATGCCATTGGCCACCTTGGTCATCTGTAGTTCCATTTGCCACACAACATTTGGTCAGGTTTGTTACATTAATGATTCTTTCACCATGTCCATCTTAATTAATGCATCAGCTGAGGTCAAAGTTGGCCATACTGGCATGTTCTGTAAGACAGCCATGTGAGTGAATGAAGTTCAAGGGTTAACAACATTTTCTTATGATCCCCTCATCATCACCCCTTTGAAGGCCAGTCCAGGACAGGCGTTCAACAGTAGAATATTTCATTTTTAAATTATTTTCAGCCTGCCACCTACCAGAAGAGACAGTTTTAAACAGATACCATATGCTATGTAAATGCATTCCCTTATCACACATGAGAGCTTCTGATGCTTCACCAGGAGAATTTTAGGTTAAGACTGGCCTGAACATTATTGCAAAACAACAGGTGTGTTGAGGTAATGTGAAAACAAGTCCCTCAAATAGTAGCAGGTTTTGTGGGTGGTGTTACGACATCGAGGAGATGAAGAACATGTTCCTTTGGTCCTTCCTGATGCATGATCATAGTTTACAAGAGGACAGGCCTGTGTGTAATGCAGGAAGGTGCTTTCCTCTCCTGCAGAGCCAACTCTACAGACAACAGCTGTTCTGCCCTGGTGTGTGTGCCAGGTCTGCTCTGCCATGGCAGGGAAGCAGCCTTAGTTCCTGAGCATGTTATTGTTGGGTGTGCACAGATTCTGCATTGTGCAGTGCTCAGTGGTTGGTCTGATGGAAATATTCCATGAAAAAATCTGGAAAATCATAGGCTAGCAGGCTGCTGGGGCAGTGCAGTGGGAAGGAGTTGGAGGCAGAAAGGCAGCAGGGGTGGAGGAGTGGGAACTACAGACACACCCGTGGAAGTGCAGTCATTGCATGCGTTTGGGCAGACTGAGCTGAACAGGGCAGTGTGGGGCCCAGGACATTACAGCTGTGTGTGGCAGCTCCTCACTTTACAACACATTGAGCATAACGAAGGGCAGTTCTACTGCCCAGGTCATGTCTTCTTGTGAGAAAGTCATGAAAATGAGCCTCTCATTAGCTGCTCTAGACCCAGTGCACCTAGGTACAAACAAATACCCATCACTGCGTCTCCTCAGCCAGAACAGCAGGAGCATCTGTCTGGACTTCCCAATTAGCTGTCTGCCTCTCCGCAAAGCCGCAAGCAGTGACCCCTCACCTGGCTGACCAGTAAGTTGCTGCACTCAGGACTCAGTAGCACGAAAGGGAAATACAGTTGACAGATAGCTGGCTGCTGTACAAGCAATCCGGAACAGCCCTCAAGTTTTACACTTGAGGATCCTCTGGTTTTCATTTTTCGTTAAGTAGCAAATAAACAGAAGCTGTGTTGCTGCAGTACAAAGCCAAAGCTGTTTTGAAACCTCAAGTGGCCACATGCAGCTGGGAGGAGTGGTGGCCCTGCAGACTTTAGAATTTTCCCCCTGAGGCAAATAAAAGGATATTTTATAAACATATAACAAGCATGTCAAAGCACCTGCCTTGGTGCTACAGCTGCAGTACAGGACCACAGAACAGGGCTGCAAAAGGCTTTTCATTGTTCAGTCTTGAGACAAGAGAGCAAAGGGGCCATCATATCTTGGCCTTGAGCTGTCCAGTGAAAGGTACAGAGAAGACAGTGTACATTTTATTTATTTACCAAAAAAAAATTAAGTATAAATTTCAATGCAGAAAACACAAGCTTGTGACATAGCAACAAGTTATTACACACCTGCAACAACCAGCACCACATGCAACCACGTTGTATGTGGCCATATAGGTTAAGGCTGTTTCTGCTGATAGGGAACAGGAGCAACAATCTGCAAACCTGTTTTCCGGAGAAGTGCTTGTCACCACACAATCACACACCAGACCAAATGGGTACAGAGTGGGGACAGGGATGCATCAGACTGCAAGCAGAAGAGTTTTTTCATTCATATTTGATGACGATTCCTTCATCTTTGTAGGACTGGGTGCCCTGGGGCAGCTGGCTTGCCTGTAACTCCTCCCAGCACCCCAGGTGGGACACATTTCAGTAAAGCTGGAGTTTTCTGTTAGGTCAAGAGCCTAAGTAAGGTCTCTAGAGTCCTTCTGTAGTCTAAGGCGAGAGAAGCAGGTTCAGAACACAATCCATCCCGTTAACCTGAGATGCCTCTCTTACAACAACATTCATTTGACTGACTAAATTATGGGAATAGGGAATGAGATGAATCATGGCCTAAAGGTGCCTGCTTAGGCTAATTATGTGGAATGAGATGAATCATGACCTAGAGGTACCCGCTTCTTCCCCTTGGCCAGGATGAGGTATGAAACACAAGCTGGGATGTGAGCATTGCCATTACAGATCTTTAAAGTTGTGGGGATTAGCTTTCAACCCAAGGGATGCCTGAGAGCGGTACAGGGCCCACAGCGGAGATGCCTTCTCCAGTGGCCCCCTGAACTGCAGCTTCAGCTGAACAGCTCCTCCTTGGGGTGCCCAAAGTTCAGTGCAATGAATGAAACAGAACATCTTTCCCAGGTCTTTGGTGTTCCCCAAAGAGGGATTAGGTTCTTCCTAGAGGTGAGCAGGGAAAAGGAGAGGGGAGAAAATTACTCCCTTAAGGTCACCAGTGATGCAGGGACTAGAGCTGGAAAGAGGAAGACATTCTCCTGTTCCAGCCTCTAACAGCTGCCAGCTCATGCTGAAATGATGGGGACTGCAGACACACTTTCAGACCTCAGCTTCTGAGGTGAGTTCATTTGCAGCCCAGGTGCTTATATCCTTGTATCAGCACTGATCTCAGAGTCTCGCAGTTTGTTTTTACACTGCTTTTCTAAGCAACAGCCTTCAGTTCATCCATTCTCTCATCGCTGGGTAGTCTTTTGGGGCAAGCAGGGAGATACCGAAACCAAGAGACAGCACAGTATTTGGTGCCTATGCCAAAGGGAAGATCATAGACCTTGGAAACAAGCTGAGAGCTGTCTGCCCCTCCCTTGTGGCTCTGCTTCCATGCCAGGAGGCCCCGCTCCTCTGGTGTTCCTGCAACAGCAAAGAGGAGGTCACTGTGTTTAAAGCAGCAGGTGTTTGAGCATAGGACTACTCTGTGTGCCTCACATCCACTTCTCAAATCCCAGCAGACCCAGCACAACATACAGATCCCTTATACTTAAAACCTTCTACCTCCAGAGCTCTTTACAAATATTCATGAACAAGCTTCCAGACAATATCCATCTTCCTGCAATGGCTTCCAGATAAGCAGCCTTCTCGTCTGCTTTCCATGGGAATCAAGTATGCCAAGACAGGTTTTTCACCTGCCATGGGGCATCCAAGAGGATCCCTGCTCAAAGGGGAGGTTCATGCAGTGCTAGGAAAGCAAGGTTGGATGTTGATTGCCCAGATACTTCAGAGTGGATTTAGCTAGCAATTACTAGTCAGTCACAGGTGTTTACCCTAGCCAAGGAATTCCTAAGTGCCCGTAATTGTTGCAGCAGCCAAGTCCCTCTTGGGAAAGTGAGTGAGCACACCTGTAGATTCTGCCCAGAGGAGCTGAAGATTGAGTGCTACAGGAAAATTAAATGAACCAAAGGGAAACTGGCTTTCCAAGAATCCTGAGACAGTAAAAGAATCTGGTTAACAGAGTGTCCTTCCTGCTCTTTTCCTGTAGCAGGAAAGAGGGTTTCCTCTCCTATTCTTATGCCATCCCTCCCCAGGCTCAATGAAAATCTGGGGATATTTGTTGGCTGTAAGGGCCAGCCAGAGGTGCTATATCCTGACTTTGGTCACCAGCATTTCCTACTACTTTCCACTGCTGTGGGTTCAGTTCAGCTTCAGTTTTTTCAGCTTCCATAAGGAGGTGCAAGTTGGCTCCTTCCTCTTCTTGTAGTTGCCTTTCTCTCTCAAGTAGCAACATGGCTGTAGACTGGAATTTTCTCTAAAAGACATTTTTTCCCAAATAGACCTTTTCCTCAGCCTGGGTTGTTCCTGAAAAATCAGTAATTTTTTTATAAGCTGCTCTTTTCTAGCCAGAGACCATTGTAATGATGTCTGCTGTTCCTGGTCGCTCTCTGGGAGTACAGTTACATGCTCCTTCATGTTTGCCAGCACAACTCCTACCCATACAACAGTAGTTACAAAGACAAAAAAAACCCAGGCAACAAACCCTAGGATAGGCACAAACTAATAGCTCATTTCAGCAAATCTTACCTGGAATGGTGTTATCAAGGATAAACCCCAGGAGTCCACCCACAAACATGCCAGTGGTGAGAATCACCTGGAACACCTGGTCCAGCTGGATGATTCCTAGCAGAAAAACAAAGTTTTGGATAGTGCTGTTGGGAGACACGTGTTTGACCAGCAACATACCAGGTGCCAAGAGGCTGCAAGCTGCATAACTGCTTAGACAAGACTTGCAAATCCCAAAGCAGAGCATAAAATTTGGCATGGAATGGAAATTGATCTCACTGTCAGTTTCAGACCTGCAGTTTACTCTACCTGGTTATTCAGTGATGCACAGTGGGCAGGAGATGATGCATAAATACATTAGGAGCCTATTAACAATACAGACCACAGCACTGTCCCAGAAAAAGCTGTATTCTGCACCTGCACAACACAACACCTAGCAGTTCCCTACAGGATCAGGAGCTTCAGTTCCCAAAGAAATATGGGTATATTTAGCATGGGATTTCACCATAAGTTAATCAGGTGTGATGCTTCCCCTCGAGGGCTCACAGACGTGAGCAAAGACCAGTGGCATTGAGTATCTGATAGACCATCTACAGACCATGTGGTTTATGGGCCAGCTCTTTAAACAGCCCACCCAGCATGCCATGTATGCTCTAAGAGAGGACACTATGGACTTTGTGATGAACACATTAGCCACATGAGACATAGTGAAGGAGTAACTGTTGGAGGACTGGAAATTTCAATAAAGTGAACTTGATGGAATTTAGTAGAGGAGTCTGCTCTTGCATTTTGGAAACACAAAGGTTTATTGTGTATGAGCGTGTAACAAAGCCTCATTAATTGAGACCCTGATCAAGATTCAGGCCTGGAGTATTCTGTTGCCCCACCCCAGGAATGTGTACCAGAGAAGTGCTCTGCAATCCTTAGCTTGAGAGCAATCTGGTGAGGTGCGGTCATTGTTCAAGAGCAGAGATTTCCACACCAGAGCTGAGCACCACAGCAGTGGGCTCTGGTGCCCTCCCAGAACAAAACAGTTTAAGCACAGATTTCAGCATTTATCAGGAAAAACTGCATTTAAAAGTATTTCTTTGGATCAGGCTTTGTTATGCTACAGGAAATGCTTTTGATGCTACTTCTTACCTGTTTCCAGCAGTGTACTGTTTTTGCTTGCCCAGTTGGGAATTGCAAGCCCAGCAAATACAGAAAATCCAAAGATAAAGATGTTTCTTGAGGAGTTCATATCTGTGTACTGCACAGAGAAATTGTATACATTACATTTGGAATTATCCAAAACTGTGGATTAATGTTATAGAATCATAGACTTACAGAATCAACCTGATTGGAAGTGACCTCAAAGATCATTGAGTCCAACCCTACCGCCGTTACTAGACCCCTAAGTGCCACATCCAGTCTCAGCTTGAAAACCTCCAGGGACAGTGAATCCACCACCTCCCTAGGCAGCACATTCCAATGCCTGATTACTCTTTCTATAAAAAAATCTCTTCCTAATGTCCAACCTAACCCTCCCCTGATACAGCTTGAGTCTGTGCCCTCTTGTCCTGCTGCTGGCTGCCTGGGGCCCACCTGACTACAGTCTCCTTTCAGGGAGTTGTAGAGGGTGATAAGGTCTCCCCTGAGCCTTTTCTTCTCCAGGCTAAACAACCCCAACTCACTCAGCCTCTCCTCATAGCACTTGTGCTTGAGTCCCTTCACCAGCCTTGTTGCTCTTCTCTGGACCTGCTCCAGCACCTCAATGTCCTTTCTGAACTGAGGGACGCAGAACTGCACAGAGTACTCAAGGTGTGGCCTCACCAGTGCCGAGTCCAGGGGCAGAATCCCCTCCCTGGTCCTTCTGACCACGCTGTTCCTGATCCGGGCCAGGATGCCATTGGCTTGTCTCTAGAGACAGGCCAATGTCTCTCTAGAGACAAAGGCACTTCTTGTATTCCTGAGACACGGTGAGATGCAAACACTGCATATGCTCTGGTGCTGCTGGGGTGTCTGTGTTCCTGCGGTCCCTGGTGCCAACCAACCCTGCCTCAGCCAGGGCACCCTCTGTGATTTAACCCCTCTGGGTACATCCCCTTATCTGTACCCAAGGAATTCTCAAAGCAAAAGTTTGCATTTGCTGCAGTGTGGTTGTATCTGACAGAGTCTGGTAAGAATCTGACTTGAAACTAAAGTCCCCTTCCCTAGGGATGAAACAGTACTCGCACAGCTGTTACCTGCAAATTGGAAATCCCCACGGCCGTGATAACTCCGAACATCACGAGGAACATGCCTCCGATCACGGGGGTGGGTATGCTGGCAAGCATTGCCCCAACTTTTCCAAAGATGCCACTCAGGAGCATGGCACAGGCACCAGCAATGATCACCATTCGACTCCCTACCTGGGGCAAGAGGAAGAGGAGGCAGTCATGCACTGATGGGCAGAGAGCAGTGTGGGATGGCAGGCTGCAGTGCCAGCCTGTCAGCCAGGGGCTGCAGCTCTGGCACAAGCACCCAATGGCACATTCAGCCGCAGGTTTGGATACAGCTGCCAGTGAGCTGGGATGCTGACACTGAATGGGAAGCATCAGTATTTGTACACCAGTAAATTTTTATAATGAAAGGCACTCTGAGAGCAATCATGGACCCGCACCTATTTGCTCAGTGTTATCCTTTTTCCTGCTGTTGTCAGGACTTCAACAGTTCGCTGTTAAACAAAAACTATAAAGTTTAATTAACAGCACAGTAATCCACACACACAGCCTTGCTTTTGCTCCAGCCTAGAAATATCTTGGTGTACATACAGCCTGGCATTGCAACCACCCAGTCAATTCAGTGCACATTCCTCCCCCCAGGGTTTGGATTGCCATGGCTTTCAGTGAGGTATCCCATTCCCTGGAGATCAAGGTTTGGGAGACCAGAGCTGGCTGGCTGCTCCAGTCCTGAGCTCTGGGATGTGATATATCCTTTCCATGGTCAAGAAATAAGAAGTGAGGAAGTGTCTTGGTCTGTCCCTATCTCTCATCACCCATCTAACTTCAGTAGAACCAATTTTTCCTCATTTTTTCCCCTAGGAAGAGCCAGGGTAGCCTTTTCTTAGTTGGGCACTACAACAAAGTATGAAACACCAAGCCATGCCCTTCATTCAGATCTGTTAGAGCATACAAATAGGAAGGAAAAAAGTATCTGCCAAACAAAGGGTTAAAGAGACATTTAAGACTATGGAAACTGAAAAGAAAAGCAGCAATATTTATTAGACTTTCAATTCAAGATATGCCTTGTCACACCAAAACTTCAACAGCTTAAAGAATCATGCTGAGATTTCCAACGTTCGTGTCTTAGGCAGGGAAACTCTGTAATCCTCTGCAAACATTTCATAATTCAATTAAATATTTTAATCTCTCCCTTTAAATATCTGAAGAATGTCATATTTACAGGAAGGGCTTTTTGTGAATGCTTTCAACAAAAATGTTCCCAGTAACTTGTAGTGCCTCCTTTTAAGTATTTATTAAACATGTCCTTTTAAAATAACATCTTACTTGATTGTGAAACTTAAATAAAAAGATTTGATGTGGAGTTTCAAAATAAAATCACGCATTGCCTTCAGGTAGGCTTTTTATATTCTTTGGCTTAAAACTTTGGGACACTATTACCACCAGAATGGTAATTTAATAAAAGCCAACAGATCTATTTGTTCCAGTAGTAGAACAAAAATTCAGATTTTCAACTTATTAAAATGTCAAAATACCATGTATACAGAGTTGGCCTTAAAGACAAATGACCAAATCCACTGATACCACAACTGAGCAGATCCTGCTAAAGTCTCCAGTTTAGAGCTCGTTTCAATTATGTCCGGAATACAAGGAAATCAGTTCTCTTTCTTAAGGCTGAAGAAACTGCAGTTTCCTGCAATATATGGTGACTCTGAGGCCTTTACCTGCCTTTAAAATCCTCCTGTTCTTGAAAATGAGAGCTCAGTACTGCCATACTGGGCTTGATCAAGCAGCTTCTCCTTGCCTTATCTGACAGCCCTTGTGGATATCTGAGCTCTCCAAAGACTTTTCAGGTGGTGCTGGACACCTCTGTTTAAGCAGCGGAAACAAGTCTCTTGTGTTTCCATTTGAAATGTGTTTCTCACATAAAAAAAGAAATGAAATCTGGCTTGTGCTCTCAGCATCCCCATCTGTCCCAGCCAGAATGTTGACACTGATCTGAGTGAGATAAGGCTGTATTTTCAGCTCTCTTAAGTGTGGACAGAGTGAACAGAGGTGGGATCTAAGGGAAGCAGCTCTCATGAATCAGCAAGAATGGAATGTCCACCTGAAGGACTTAGCATAGATGGAGAGAACATGCCCTATACTCTGGTAATTATGAGTCTGGACAGCATCCCATACATACATATATGCAGCAAACTACATGTCAGGAAAGAATCAGCTCAGGTATATGGTCAGTACACACAGACTTCCTAGTGGCAATGTACATGTGGTGACAGGCTAAACTGGACTCCATGCAGACATCCAGGCAGCCCTTGGTGCTGGAGGCAGCCCCCTGAGCCAAGCACAAACACTTCAGTCTGGGAAAAATGGTTATTGTGAGTGAGGCTTATAAAATCCAGTGAAAGAAGCAATATTATAGAGTGAAAGCCCTGAGTTAAATTTGCCATTTATTTACTGACTCACAGCTCTTCTGACGTGACATTGCTATTTGAAAATTATTTGAAAATGTTGTCCAGTTGGCTGCTGGATATACCTGTCCTTTGCACCAGCTTACTGAAAATCTATGATCTGATTGCCAAGGCTATCTCTGGAAATTTCTTTCCCTTATAAGAACAATTAATGTACTCAAGGGATTCACAAAACTTTATAGAGAGGTAAAAACACAAACCTCTGCCATCACATTTCTACCTTGCATGATTGCCATCCCTGGCTTATAAAAACTCTGGAATTTGAAGCCCTGTTAAATATTTATTTCCTTCCTTCTTTCCTTCCTTCCTTCCTTCCTAATATACTTAGTAAGTCAGATAGGCAGAACCAGACAGACAGATAGTCTTTGAAAAAGTCAGTCCTCGGGCAGTTTCCAAGTTAGCTCATATGTTACATGTTCTCTTTAGTCTTAATTAATCCAGGTGCCATAAGTGAGTACACTAATCCCATATGCAGACCACAGAGAGAGAGGGACTGGCCACCTCTGTTAGGTCATTCATAGTGCTGCTGAGGTGGTCACCGATGTGCCAGGGTACAATTTTCCAGCGTGCCTTCCCGGAGGTGAGCTAAGATCACATCCCAGTTCCAGCACATATCCTCGTGCACCACTCTTTTTTACATATACGCATGGGGGAACCCTCCAGGAGGCACCCAACTGCAGCAATGCTCACCTTGGTGATGCCTAGGGCTCCCACATTCTCGCTGTACGATGTGGTGCCATTCCCTGTTCCCCAGGCCCCAGCCAGAAGGCAGCCGATGCCTCCAATCCCGCGGCTGACGGCGTGCTCTGGCGGCGGTGGGGCCCCGGAGAGTCGGGCACAGGCATAGTAATCTCCCACAGACTCCAACATGGAGGAAATCACGCCGGCTAAGATGCCAAATATCCCAGCCAGGCTGACCGTTGGCATTCCCCACTGGCCTGCAAGTAAAGAGCTTGGTTCAGGTTGGTGGGGCACATTTGCCCTGAAATCCATTGCAGGGGAGGAAGAACAGCATTC